AAAACTATTTCAAATCGGACCTTCCATTTCAGAAATGATAAAAAAAAAATCGATATCGGTTATCGGCTACATGAGTTTTAAAATATCGGCATATCGGATATCGGCCAAAATCCCAATATCGTGAATCCCTAACTAAAATACAAGAATATTTAAACGCATATTTAACTCTAGTGCCACAGTACAATCATAAAGGGTTAAGAGACTTTTTAAGTGTAAAATATTACACTTATTATGTGCTTAGAATAAAACTGGGATTTTTTTTTTAAATGGTATCAAAGCACAAGCTAGGGACAAAATAAATTGGTGGTCTAGTTTAAGCCTGGACTGAATCTGATTGAGATACAGTTGAATGGCTGTAAATAATCACCCTATTAGACTGAATCAAAATGAAGTGAATAAGAGTTATCACCAAACACATGAATACAGTTTGTACCGCATAAATTAGGACAACCATTTCTAAGGTCAGGGTTTACAGAAACCCTGAAGGTTTAGGGCACAGTTATTTTCTGTTTGGATAAGTTAGTAAATAAAAGCCTAGTTGGTTATGGTTGTGGTTGCTTTATGTAATAACTCTGGTTATCTTTAGCCTAACTTCACAACCTTTTCAATAATTTTACATGTTTAAATGAGACTAAAAAAATGAGGGAGCAACTCTTTATCTCTTTATCAGTTCTTTTCCAAATCCGATCCCCAGCAGACTTACCCATCCTCCCTGGCTGTGGATCCAAGGGTTAAGCTGCTCATCTAGGTAAATGGTCATCCAGTCTGCAATGCGGGACACCAACTCACTCATATTCTTCTGCACGCAGTGCACACACAGAACCCCACCAAAGGCAAACAGCCCCACCACACGGCCCCAGTTGATCCCATCCTTGAACAACTCGTCCAACACGGCCTTAAAGCTGTGGTAGGCCGTGTCAGGGGTGATGTCTAGCTGCATGGAGAGGTCACTGAAACTTTGAGAGAAGAGAAGTTCAAACTCATTTGCTGAGTCCTTCAGAGCGGATTTTACAGCCTCTATGCTTCCATGGGGGGCCCGAGGCTTCCCGGGGGGGCTGGGCCTGCTGTTGAAAAGTGGGCCATTGCTGGAAGCCGAGGCGTCCTTGTCTCCCTCGGTCCGGCCACCAGTGACCTCCGACCTCAGCAGAGAGTTTGGGCAGTTTGTCTGAGACAGTTTGTAGCTTATATAGAACTCTACCAGTTCTCTGTTACTGTATGACATTATTTACACACTAAACCTCCAAAACACTGTCGACCCTAATCAGACGCCATGAGGTTTTCATATCTTCCAGTCTGCCAGAACTCACATTGGAGCTTCTCTGACGTATGCTGCAGCAAGCAACATCAACCTGGAGGAGCAGAGGACAAGGATAAGAGAGATATGTTTATCTAGGACAAATAAGAATGCAAAGCCTTTCTAAATGAAATCACTAAGTTTTAATCATTTTGTCTTCTTATAGCCTGAAAAAAATGTTTTTATTGATACTTTCCAATGGAAAGATTGAAATTTCAACAGGTTTTTGTATTGAACAGGTCATTTAAAGTGCAGATCTATACAGATCTGTCTTGGTAGAAACAAAATGAAATCCGTACATCACAGTTACAACATCACAGCTATCCATTTGGCACTTTATGAAATTACAATTTTTGGATTATAACACAGTGGAATAAAAAAAAGTGCAAAAGTTCAGTGGTACTTTTTCTATGTACTGTAACACCTCTATGCTGCTCGATGTGAGAATACTTTAAATTCCAACAATCCTTCTCGTCTAAATTGTTATTAGTTGGATAATTATCCATGTTCATTGGTGTTTATTTTAGCATTTAATTCAGTAGACATGTGCAGAGCTACATAAAGTGACGGGATCTCCATTTATAGCGATCACAGCTCATAATCGGTGTGTTCACCGCTAATAACACGTCATCATTACTAAATATTAACATAGCTAAGTAGTGCTCTCGGTGGAAACTAGCCAGCTTTGACAGCTTCAACAAGTCACGTAGTTTGAACATAACTGGGTTAGCCTTACATGCTAACAAGCTGCTAATCTACATCCTAGAAACGCTTCCAAAAAAAGAAGAAAAAAATGGTGTAAAGTCAATACGAGGAGATTTTAAAGCTTAGCGTGTCTAGAAGTTATACTTACGAATCCCAAAAAGGTAAGGATCCCAACTAAGAACGGAGATTTAGGGATAAAAGTGGATAGAAGTGCAAACTGAACGTAAACATTTTTGACAGGGGCCCGTTCAGTGACGCTGATGCGCTGTTGGCCAATTGACGTTAAAAGCCCCTCCCCCTTTTGCTTCTACACCAATCCAGTATCGAGACACCCCGGAAGTGCTGTGATCCGTCTCGTAATTTTTCACATCACTCGCACTTTCTCAATCACATGGAAGCACGTTTTCGCCACTTATAAAAAAATAAATAAAATAAATAATCTCATTATTTTGAAAAGGTATCTCATTGAGATACTATCTCATTATATTGCAATAGTAACTTATGAGATACTATCTCAATATGATAGTAACTAACTATGAGATACTATCTGATTATAGTATCTCATGAGTTAGTAATTCAAAATAATGAGATACTATCTCAATATAATGAAAAATATCCCATGAGTTACTATCTCATAATGAGATACTATCACTATTTTTGGGAAAGTATCTCATGAGATAGTAACTCAAAATATATTTAAAATATTTTTAACTGTGGTGGAAACGGGCTTCCATACAATCATATACTTCCCACATTACTGCTTAAAGCAGTTCTAGCGCTCATACTTTCTGAATAAAATTTAAGTGTAGAAAATAGCAGTTAATATTGATTTAATTGCAGAGGAACCTTTATTTCTCCCCACCATAAATATATATTCATGAAAGGAGCTACTTGATGTGCATTCCTTATAAAAATGATTTTATAGCTAAAACATTTTTGTCTAATCTAAATTGTAAACCACTAGAAGAGAAAAAAAGGCAAACAAACCTAAAATATGTTTGACAACATCTATCAAAATTGATGTTGTGAAAATGCAGACTATAATCCCACCAAAGCTTTTTAATAACTTTTTATTCAAACAAGTACATAAACTTTAAATGCATCTTTAATCGTCTAAATCTGGAATAACATGAACAGGATACACTGAAACTAAGACTAAGACAAAAGTAAAATAAAACCATATAAACCTGAAAAATATTTGTATATGCCGTGACAACTAAGGGCAAATTGAAAAGGTCTATAAAACAGAACCGCAATGTTGGTAAAATGACAGTTTGTATATTGAACTGTTTAATATATATATTTATATGTAAATTGACAATTATACAGTGGAGGTTAGGGTAAATGATTTTCTTTTCTGCAGCAAAAGAGTAAAATGTTGAAAACAGATTGTTATGACTCTTAGGAAGCCCTCCAGGTTGTAACCATTTATGGAGCAGTATAATGGGTTTGCAGCCAAGACCCAAAAGCAAATTAACATGGAGTCATTCCATGCTTTTCTTCAGGTCTTCCATAAAGCTCTCCATGGCAGGCTAATTTTGTCATGTTGTTTTTCCTTCTGTTTCGCTCTGTGGGGAATGTGATTCCATGTACTCTTCTTGTACATCAGCTTTTTCATCCTCCAGTATTACCTCTTCTTGGTTGGCTTCAACGTTTTCATCCTCTGACAAAACCTCTTGGTTTTGTTCAGTGTTTGCATCCTCTGACAAGACCTTCTCTTCTTGGTTTGGTTCAACGTTTTCATCCTCTACTGTTACCTTCTCTTCTTGGTTTGGTTCAACGTTTTCATCCTCTACTGTTACCTTCTCTTCTTGGTTTGGTTCAGCGTTTGCATCCTCTAGTGTGACTTTCTCTTCTTGGTTTTGTTCAACGTTTGCATCCTCTGACAAGATGACCTCTTCTTTGTTTGGTTCAAAGTTTTCATCCTCAAGGGTAACCCTCTGTTCTTGGTTTGGTTCTGCTTCATCATCTGACAGGATGGTCTCTTCTTGGATCAGGTCAGCTTCTTTTCCATTTGGACTTTTGCTTTCTTCTCCAATTGGATCAGCCATTCCCACACGTTCATCCCCTTCTGTCAGCTTCTCTCGGCACTGAAATTCTACATGGTCTCCATGGTTTGCTGTAACCGTTTTGTTCTCCTCTTTGTTTGTGTCATCTATCTGAACAGGATTCTCCATTTCTTCTTCATTGTCTGAATCTATTGAAATGATCTCTATGTGCAAACCACTGTGATCCACTATAGGGTTTGGCGGCTGAGGAGACCACTTTGGTTTTGGGTATGGAGCATATGACTTTAAGCCCAAAGATCTAACAGCCGAGGTGCCAACCAACCTCCCTTTATCAAAAATCAAGTAATGTTTCAGCTTGCTTACTGCGTCCATGTCAAGGCCAACTTGAACCGAAACCCTCTTGGTTTCACAACTCGTCAAACACAGCATTTGTTTCATTGTAAAGTGACTAGCGACTTCAGATTTCCACAGCCACAGACTGGCGGCCAGCTTCTCCACTTCTTGGGAAGTTGGGTATGGCCGTCTGTTAAAATATGCAGTCAGGAACTCTTTCCTGGCTTCATGCGTCTTGTGCTCCCAGCCAGAAGGATCCAGAACCAGGCTGTCAAATGTAGTAGCGCTTCCACGAAAAGGACCTGTTCTTTTGCTCATTTTGATTCTCTTGGGATTTGATGGAGACTGTGTTGGCAACTGCCTCTTGAGGATACCAGCACCTGCTGAGTTGAGAGTCAGGGAAGATTTGAAGCCTTGATTTGACTGATTCCTACCAACTGCTCTGCATTGCACAAGGTGCAGTGTGATTGTGGACGCTACCATGTTACTAGTGTACACCCCTAAACAATGAATGCACTTGTATGTCATTTTGTTTTCAACAGGATGGATGGTTTGGATCACTTGATGTCGCTGTCTAAGGTGCATGGCCAAGGCCTCTGAGACAGGACCTTTAAGGATGGAGAAACACAGCGGACAAACAGTCTTCCCAACTTCGCTTGTCTGGAATAATGAAGGGAAATTTCTTGGTTCGCCTTGTTTTTCCATAATTCTAACCGGTGGTACTTTTCCGGGCAGATGAACAGATTGCAGTGCAGGTGCAGATTGATCCTGACCATTGGGCGAATCCTTCATGTTGAAAGGGAGGACAGCCAGCTGAATGTTGGTGGGTTTGCTTTGTTTGATGGTAAGATCAAACGTTAAAGGAGCTGCACCAGTGGGTCCAAAAAACTCATCTGGGTGGGTCTTAGCTGTGTGCTCCATGATCTTTTCCACACTGTGGAAAGCAGAGTGGCACTGGGGGCAGGTTAAGCCGTGGATCAGCATGTGGTTCAGTAATGTGCTGCTGGGCAGATAACGGTTGCAAAGCAAACACTTGCTGGTGAAGTTGTGGATTTTCATGATGTATTTGGCTAATGCCCAAACTTTCTTTGCCTTGTGAGCACACTCAAAATGAGCACTGTACAGGTTTTCTGGAAAGAGCTCATTGCAAACAGTGCATATCTTCCACTTCTGTGTTTGGGCTGTGTTTACACCAGTTTGATTATTTTCAGCTACAGAACCATTGGTACCGACAGTGACACGCTTTGGATTGGCAGGGATGCTGCGCTGACTCTTAAAAGTAGGCTTCAGGTAGCCAATTACAGGCTGTACTGATGGCTCAGGTCTGGGAGCTTTAGCTCTGTTGATGATCAGAGCAGCTTTCTCGTTCATGGTTGGCTGAGGCTTTGACATAACGTTAGCATGTCCGATCATGTTTGTAACCTGCGATCCAATGCGTTCATGGAACTCTACAACATGCTGCACTAAACCCTCATAGCTCCGAGTAGAATATGAACACTGTTTGCAGAAAATGCTATTGCCGTTGACAGAGCAAGCACCGTTTTTCAGTGATGGTGAAACCTTGCCATAATAAGGCAAAACAACATGCTGAAAATGTTCTCTATAAATATGCCTTCTGACCACATTGTAGAGTGCGTCTCGATATTTGCATTTCTTGCAGAAATACATTGGTTTTTCGAGTCTGTTCCCCTGTACGGTACTGTTTCCCAAAACAGAAGCACGTGGATTCCCATGACTCGGCTGGAATGGATTTGAAATGTGGAATATTTTTACATGCGTCTCCAGAGTCCTCCTGTTTGCACTGAACGAACAGTACGGACAGTTGAGCAGAAGCTGGCTGTCCAGGATTTTCCGGTGCACACTGCGGAAGTGGTTTTTGTAGCCAGAGTAGTATTTGGAAGAAAATCGGCACTCTGTGCAGCAAAACTGCTTCGATCGGTACCCCTAAAAGGACATCCAGGGAAAGAAACAGTGGTCTTAGAATATTAGATTTATTCATGAGTACAAGTGGAAAGAGGATGTACCTGTGATTTAGAGTTGGTGGGATCCCATGTGCAGATGTCATAGCTTAGACTATCCTTTACAGTTTGTTCATCTGGGCAGAACTCTTTAAATTCCTGTGGAATCAATGACAAAGATTAAGCTGCGTTCAAACTGAGTGCATAAAACGGTCTAATTTACATGCAAAGTCTATGCAGGACCATGTCAAGAGGTCCGGCTGCACCTTAAAGCATTGGGCGGCTCATCTGAGCGTTTTGGCGTCCGGGCATCCGAGCGTTCAATGCTGGAGTTACAAAAATTGAACTTTTGCACTAGACGCTAGAGTGTCAACCAATAAGAAAAGGACTTTTTGGGGGGAGATAGACACTACATGCGATTATATTTTCTGCAGAGCTGTCTGCATATGTAAAATAAATATTAACGGGTAAAACGCCAAAGGTTTAAAAAAATAAAATAAAATAAATCTCGAAGAATAGATTGTTATGTAGGCTACAAGAAAAAGAGAGCAAGCTCTGACCATTATTGCTGCACTAAAACATTTTCTATGAATTATGGCAAAACAGTTTATAAATACCTAAATTAACAGAAAAAATGTTAAAACAAGCAGATGAAAAATATTTGATTATATATCCCGGTACTTGCAGATTTTACCAAAAACCTTTAAAACTCTTTATATTCACTTCCCACCACTATGAACGGCAGCGGGAAATCCCCCACAAGCAGCCATGGGTGGTATGCTGTAGGCCTGTTGCTCCCAACAGTCACTGCATAATTTAGTGGGATCATAAACATGATGAACTAACTGTACAGAGGGTTGTTTGGCGGTGGATTTTCTTGCTTAAAAAAGTGTCAAAACTATTTTTCCAACTAATAAATAAAGTCAAGCTAATCTCTAGCTTGTAGCTACAGAACAGAGGAGATAAATGCAGCATTAGACTTACATTTTCAATTTTTACCTTGTTCTTTATCCATACATTTATTAAACTGTTAGGGTAATTTCAGTTGGTTTACAAATCAAGGACAGATACAACAGACATTAAATTCACCAGGTATTAAAACCTTTGACAGCGCTAAGTGCCAAGACATGATGGAAATTAGGATTTAATATTAATATCCCCCTCTGTCTGGAATATCAGGGCTTTTTATTTGCGCACAAAGTTCACTTACCGGTATAAATGAAAAACATTACTTTGAACCTACTGTCAATAACATTTCAGTCTCTCTCTTTCAATGCGACAACTGTAGCCAGTAATTATGATAAATCTGTGTCCTGACTTTTGAGGCACCAACTGTGGCCAAAGCTTAGTTGTCCCTGTTCCTATGTACCTCTATTAAGTGTAACTTTTTGGATCTATATTGTATAAAACAGGTATATGACTTAGACTCAGTGTTGAGAAGGTGGATGAAAAGTCCTCCGACTCAATGGCTGCTACACATGAACTTTGTGGCGACTGTGTGTAAGCCAATTATCAAAATGTTATCAAACAGACCTCTAGAGTTTGTAAGAAAAATACATAAAACAACCAATGGTATGAGTAGCTGGAGGAAAGCACATTCAATAACCGAACTTTCTATCTTTTAGCACACCAATAAATGAAAAAAATCATAAAACAACTTAATCACTCACCTCTGCCACCTCCTTGCAAAGCTCAAGCCCTATATCTTCAAGATTTTTCTTAACTTGTTTTCTGGCTTTCCTGATTCTTGTAAGATTATTCACAGGGAGCTGGTACATGGCTGCTGGCAGAAAAGAAAAATAAAATTAAAACTTTAGATATTGTTTGAAGCAGATTTTGTTTTTTTCAAAAATCACAGCCCCTAAATCGCATAGAAAAAAAACTTTTTAAATCAATTTCAAAGATCACTGAACGACAGTCTTTGCACCGGATCGCGCGGTCATTTTATAAAGTATCAGAACACCATACGCAACATCAATGCGTTTTCAGCTTGAGTCGCTGTAAATGCACCTACCTCAGCCTCAATGCATTTTCTCATTAAGTGGACCTTTATATCATGAAATCGGCTACATTAGCTTTGTTACGTTAGCACCTAAGGCCGCTCTTGCTGCATGATGCGAGTTCTAGTCTGGTCGGTTAGCCGGAGTGTTATGTTTATCACAATATTAACAAATAATGCGTTTTACTTACTTGAGGATGTGTCTCTGGTTTAAGTCTAAACTGGTTTACTCATCTACACCAATTGGTGAAAACTAAGTACACTATAGGAGAGTGTATGGACAAAATGACTGGTGATGTTCTCCGTTTTCTGACGCCGGGGGATGCTAATGATTTAGCTTCTCCTCTGCTAACTAGCTAAATGCTAGCTGAATAGTTAACAGTCACGTGTGCTGCGCATTATCAAACACTTTAGAAAACCGAATAAACGTGGTAAAGCACACATTTAAGAAATATAGCACATTGCACTAATGACTTGTAGGTCCCAACTTTCCCTGCGTAGTTTCTTTAACTCCTTGCAGTGCTGTTAGCCTGTTAGCTGCGTTGTGTATTTTAGGAGCTTGATACCAAATCCAAAATGGCTTCTTCTTCCTCTTCTTCTTTTGTGATGTGTAATGGCGGTTGGCACACAATTTAAAAGAGCATTACCGCCACCTACTGGTATGAATTGTGGAACAAAATGATAGTATACTAACTAATTAATGTATCTACTTTATATCAATAATACAATAACCAAATATCCTCTATCTAATATAATTAATATTTGTTATTACCAATATCTTAACATTTTCTGTTCCAAGTGTTTTTATCTTCCCTTCATCTTCAACCTTGTAACAATGTTTTCCCAACTAAATTCTGCCCAAAACTTTTCAGCCCCTCTGGCAATGATTCTGATTTTCTCTGTTTTATGCTTGTCTTGGTCTGTGCAGTTAATGACATACATTCTGAATAAAATTAGTTTCTCTGGTGTCGAAATGAAATTATCTTCTCTTTTTACTTAATTTTGCTTTTGTACCTGATTCTGTGCTTGTTTAATTTCTCTAGTCCTTTGTCTTTGAACTCTCTTCATCGCTTCTGTGTAGCTCATATTTTTTGTTGTTTTAACATGTTTTATTTCCCCTGACTGTTTTCTCTCCTTACATCCTCCATAGTTGACTCTATGCTGGCCTCGACGGTTGCAGCACCTTTCTTCAGCTTCTTCCATGCACTCCCAGATTTTGTGTTCTTCTCCGTATTTTGAACATCTTTGCTTTCCCCTACAAACTGCTGCCATGTTTCTGTAGCGCTGACACCTGTAGCACCTGGGTGGAGGTGGAATGAGCGGCCTGATTGGGAAACTCATGAAACCTATTCAAACTTTCTGGTGGAACTGACTCTGAGAACTATATCAGCAGTGACATGTGTGCAATCCTTTGTATGTTTTTATACAGTCTGTGTATCTTGTTAACATAGCCTCCAATAAAGCTACTATGTAATTTATCTAAATTCTAGTTAATTGGAATTCCTGTTATCACTCATTTCACTGTTTTATTCTCTCCTACGTCTTTTATCTCTATGACCTCTCTTAGTTTTCAACATTCAATGGTTTGATTTTTTGCTCCTCATTATTTTATATTACCAGCAAGTTTCAATCTTTCAACTCCTTCATTAATTCGACATTCCCAATTCTCTTATTTATTCCTCTGGAAACCAAAATGGGGCTCAAATGACTCTGTTTATCTTCAGCACTGAATCTAAATATTATTTTTATTTCTTCTCTGACAACCTTCCTTCGCTAAACCCTTTATACACCTGAACTGCTTTCTTCTAATTGTTATTTATTTCCTCGATTCCACCCTTTTATTTCATCTATCTCTCTATTTCCCATTTGAGACTGTTGTCCATCCTTCCTCATCATCATCTACCTGACTTGCCATATTGTTCCATCCACCATCCAAAAAGGCGGTCAGGAAAGACACATTGTTTTGCTGCTTTTTTAGAAAGAACTTTAGTAAAACAAGAAACAATGCCTTCCCAATTGTGTAGATGCACTACAACGACACAACTAATATAGCTCCCAAAAGAAATTATTCACACAATATTTATAGCATGCAAATTAGATTATACACCCAAGTCTGTATGACTAGAAAACAAACACACCGAAAAAATAAATAAATGAACAGGAAATAAAAAAGAAGAGAATAAAACATACACAGAAAAAAAAAAGATTTAACCAAAATGTAAAAGGGCTAATCTATTTTAGGTGGGAGTTTAGGTTTTTGCCTTTAAACTTTTTGTTCAACCAGGAAAAGACAGAAGTGGTGTTATGATTTAGAGAATAAATTAGATGGCTGTTTGATATAATTTTTTTTTCAAGGTGTAAAATTCTCACAACCTCTCCAAAGATTTTTATTTACAGTTTTACATATCAGAGTTTGCTGTAGTAGCATAAAACAAAAAGTATTACTTTTGTAACATCAACGTTGATTTTCAGTCTTGTTTTTATTCTAGTTGCTCCATAACTTCCAGCACAACAACACGAGGTCCAGTCATCACCAGCCTGGTCACTGTCTTGTAGTCCAGGTAAAGAACACACCTCCCATTCACCTGGCACACAAACTGTCGAATCTACAGAGTGGTTACATTCATTCATCACACTTTTGTCCTTGCATTTAATATAACTGTTTTACAGTTTTATTGTCTATTTTACTTTGACTGTTTTTTTTCACCTTAACTCCAGCAGCTGCAGCAGGGCTTCCAGGGTCCACGGCTTGCACATAACATGGAGCCCTGCCTCTGACGACAATGCCCCATCCTAGAGCATCCCCAATCACCTGCTTTGTGAGACAAAGTACATCTTTGAGGTGAGGGAAATGCAACCTAAAGTTAAAACTGATTTATAGTCTATAAAGAAATATGTAAGTTCCAGAATTGCTTCACTGACGTATGGATGTTTGTTGCGTTTTTGATGCTAGACCATACATGGTCCCACAAACTCACCGTCAGAACTTTTTTGATGAAAGGTGCCCCCGGAGCCAATAACTCTTCACATGTGACATGTCTTTTTAAAACTGCAGAACCAACAACAGCAACAAAAAAATGCTTACATGATCATTAAAACATTCCAAAATATTTCACAGGCTCCTTATTATCAACAAAAGTTCATAAAAACACAACTCACTACAATAATAGATCTATCTATACACATATAGTTAGATACATATGTCTGTGTCTGATTGTACATGTATTTATAAGCCTCTAAAATGTTACATTTGCCATTTTTAATACATCTGAACTTGCCTGATTTAGGATTGCATCTCACAATGGAGTTTGAAGACAGCTGAGCAAGAGTTTGAAATCCACCAGAATGAAGCGGGAGTGTATTCAAGCTGGATCGCCTGCTTCCAGCAATGTGTTTTACCTCTTTGGTTGGCCTCTCTGCAGAAAAATGTGTATAAAGAAGTCAATATTCAAATAACAGTGTATTTTTGCAACAACAACAAAAAAACAAAACTGTTGCAAATCTGATTTTTACCAGAATGAAAGGCATCTGTATGTTCCTGGATTGAGTCTTTGCGTAGAGAGAAAGGACTGTCGAGATTGCTTTCCTCTTGGGTAGATGTCCCATCAATGTCCTGCTCCCTTTCATTTAACAGTTCTGATAGGCGCCGGCGGCGACGGAAATTAATGCAAAACTGATATAGGAGCCCGCTGTCGAAGAAGTCATGCTTCCTTGTCACTAGTGGCAGAAATGAAATGCAACATTAAATAACGTTGGGACGTGTTTTAAGAACAAATGGAATTGTTTGCCAAGGGATATTGAATCTATTTGCTTTTGATTGCAAAAGTCCCTAGTGGCCATTCACCACTGGCAACCACATCTTATCCTTCATTAAAGTGCAAATGAGCTCCGCCTCACCGTGCTGAATGATGCCATGCTCCTGCAATGCCCGGCTTAAGTCCACTCCCTGACGCCTGCTCTCCACCTCTCCGTTCTGGAGGAGCCAGTCAATCAGCTGGTAGCCTGGAAACGAGCGCTGATATGAAACCCCATGCTCCTCCCTCAGCTGCAGGATAGAGTTTTTGTCTGCTATGAGACTAAAAAAAAAAAGTAATTAAAGCTAGTCAGCAGTTGCCTTAAAACATTTTCTAGATATTATTTTCAAAAGACTCTAAGGAAGCTACATTGGACAACACAATTTGAAATAATCCACTCTTATGATCCCTCCATGATAAAGATGAGTAAAAAAGCTTTCAAGTACAATAAATATTTTTTGAATTTGGCATTTAATATTGAATTAAAAATTAGCTACAGATATCTAACACCGCTCCTTGGTGCTGTTGGAACCACCATAATGACCATCCTTGCTGTTTAGGGTGCAAAGATAAAATTGTATCCTCATCTTTCTTGTTTATCCTAGTTCCAGTTGTTTTAAACTTTAGATTTACTTCATTAGCATTTTCACTTGTCTCAAATAGGGGATTCTCAAAATCATCTATATCACACTTATCTGAAAAAATTGCATCATTGATTAAAACTTTTTTGTTACTTTAAAGGAATATCAAGGGGTGCTATAAATTATGGCACCATTTATTGAGGTTTTTCTGATGATTAAATTACACCACAAAGTGAAATGTACCTTCATTAAAGCTGGAATCCTAAAAAAATGTAATAAATACATAAAATCTTACTATTGCAGGAGAAATATAATAATTTCAAAACATATTTTAACACATCATTAAAAATGATGACTTGTGAAGGAGTGCTTTTTTATAAGAAAGAGTCATGATTTTTTTTTTTTTTGTTTTTGGTTTTATTGTTATTGCTGCATAAAATTATTAACTTTGGATGATAACTTCTTTCTTGTATCCAACTCTTTAAAAGTTTGTCTGTTTTCCTTTAAATTGTGCCATAAGTCACAGTATTTGTTTGGCAAAAACGAGCAGATTATGAGGTTTGCACCCATTAAAAGATCTTTTATTCCTCCTTACATATGTCAAACAAATAATTTTGCAACTGACTTTTGTTTAATTTTATTACTTGGATATTTGAAGTTTGAAACAAGATATTTTAACAATCTTTTTTATTCCCTCAAAGGTGCTTAAATTGTGCAAAACAGAAACATACCTCATCATAGTCACCAACTTGGTCACATATTGATGTGGATTAACATCTTATATAGTAAATAAAAAAAAAAACTCAGCCAGTTTGGTTTTGATTGTGTTCGTCGATCTGGAGCAATCACCACACAGAGAATGATCCTGCAATTGTTCAGCATGGTTAAGATTAGGACAGTAGAAAGGCTATTAAATCCTCTCCACTCCCAGGTTGTCTTGAGTCAACACCTGCCTTTGAGAGTGAAGAGACATGAGATTTTACTGACTGCAGAATCTCATTTTGAGAATTATCCAGTGAGGGAGATTCCTCCTAAATCATCCTAATGTTTATAACTGACAGAGAGTCTGTAAGCTCAAATCACAGAAGCATTTTTCACAAATATGGCACAATTTAAGAAAAAGAGCCCATATATTTTTTAAGGAAAATTTTTCAACACAAATGTTCTCACTTTTGTTTTTTTCTTGAATATTAAATTGGTGCTTAAGAAACACCTTTGCAAAAAAGCACCCAACTTTCAATTGAAATAACCTTATCCTAATTGCATCATTCAAAAGCATGTTGTCTTTTCACCTCTTATTTCTAAAATGTCAGAAAATTCCTAAGTGGACAATTGGTAAACCCGTCACCTCTTTCTGAACCAGTATTGTAATTTAAAAAGGGTACATTAAAAAATCAAATATTTCCCATCACTCCATAATACAGAAAAAACTGTTCTAAAAAGAGCACGAATTCTGCATTTGCCATCTTTAATGTTAGAATATTAATTTGTGTGTGTTGCCAGTTTATTGTTAACATGCTAACAATTAAAATTACAAATTAGGGACAGTCCACTTGAGAGACTCACCCTCTGGTTTAGAGAGGAACTGCTTGTTTTTAGGTAGAAAATCACATTTACATAGGAACAACCAATCACTTGGTGGGGGGGCACAGGGTGTGTCTGTGTTTCCACCCCTGGATATTTGACATTTTCTCTAAAGTATTGTAGTGTCTTTAATGGAAGCTCCACTCAGCTCTCACACACAAACAAACTACTGTTTAGTCTAAAGGTTTTTTTTTTTCAAACATAGTTCATACTTTTCATATAGCCGTTGACCTCGCATGAAGATTTTCACCTCTGTGTTGAAGGGAAATGTGCCGTCATCCTTCCGAAAACGATATAGCAGTTTGGCATCTTTGAATTCAGGCCTCTTATCGCAGACTAAAAGGAGAGAGAAGCACTCTTTTTATAATGTACAATGATACCTACTGTTTTCACACCATCTGTACATTTACTTGCCCACACTTATCCATTTTACAAGGTCTACTTTGCACCTTGGACCTGTTTTTGTTTCAGAACTGCCTTCCTTTTTGACCTATTTATTATCCTGCATGGAGTAATAGCCCAGACAGCTCCCAGACTTGAATCTTATGTAGAATTTGTGGAAGGAGCTAAAGATTAGGGTGATGGGAAGGAGGCCCTCCCAAGCTCAAAAAGTTTATCACCAGGGATAAATGATCATGATACCAGTGTAAAAAAAAAAAAAAAAAAGGTCAGCAACTGAAATTGACCTAATTGCTGAGATAACACTAAAATCTTTCTGCTGTTTATTGAAAATTACACACACAATTTTCCACATAACTCTTAGTATAATCCATTTTCCATCATGTTTTATCCCTGCTGGGGTTGCGAGGGGTGCTGGTGCCTATCTCCAGCTGTCTATGTGTGAGAGGCGGGGTACACCAGTCAGTCCATCGCAGGGCATTGATTTTAATCCAGTAAGTATTAATATCTAAGTATTAAATATCTCTGAGTTATAATTGAGTCACCTTGATTTTAAAAAGAATATCAAGAACATGACCAAAAACATTAGGTATAACTAGCTAACTTTAGACATATTAGACTTTGTCTTTTGTTTGCCTTCCCTTATATCTTCCCACCTGTTCTTCTGTATCACCAATATGGACAGGCTGTTCAAACCACAATGAGACCCTTAGAGTCAATATACAAGCAAGCATTGAAAGTCCTTTTTAGAAAGCTATTTCCCTACCACCTTTGCAGAATTTTGGAAAATGCAACTTTGATAACTTAGATAATTTTAGGCTTTTCTCAAACCTTTGTTGCGATTTAGAAGATTTTAAAGGGCCTGGCTCCAGCCTACTTATTGGACTTTGTTATTGTTCTTTAGGCTTGATAATACTCTAATAGCTTCTCCACATGACTGTATCTTTTCCTTTCGCTCCTCGACATTTGGTCAGTCTGCACTCACAGCGCAGTGGAACAGGCTTCCTCTTAATATTAAAATCTCTGCATGAGCTACTACTTAAAAGCTGTCAATACTGTAATTATTTTTTTTCTGCCCATCGCACTGGCTTTTGTCTATGTATGAATGATTTTCGAATGAACGAATATTGCAAGATGAGTGAGGGGTGATGGGTGAGTGTCATATTAAACTCCTTTTTTACGTTTTCCATTTTAATTTGTTTAATATGGCACGGATTTAATATGAATTGTGGCAAAAGGGACTGCAGATGCAAATTCGCCATTGGCTAACTTAGGTACAATGCATCAAATGTTAACATTTATGTTTTAATTGTACATGGTCCCTTTTTAAATAAATGAAAATAAAAAGATACACCAGGGGGGTGCAACCTGCACTCTGGAGCCAAAAGTGTCTCTTTGGCTCCTAATTGTGGCTTAAGATGATAAAATCAACGAAAGATTTCAAATATAGCATAATAACATACGCTGGTATTGTAAGCTTTAACAGCTTTTTCAAAGCATTTCTGTTTTGAAATTTCCAAACAGAGCGACAATAAAAGAACCAATATGTTTTTAGATTTTTTTTTTTTGTCATTATCTTGGAAACTATGTTCTTTATTTAAATATTTTATATTTCCTGTCAAAATTGTAAAGAACAAAATCAGCGCATTTTATTTTTTTCCTCATTTCAAACCTTAAAATCACAAATAAAAACGACAGATTCTCTATACCAGATATTTAATTAATCTGTTTTTTTTTATTATTTTTTTATCAAAATCTCTTGTACAATTTACACCTATAATTCACTTTTATTTGACTGGACCTAAGCTAAAATGGCTCTTTGGATTACATAGTTTGCAGACTCCTGCATAAGAAGCACAGTCATGTCTTCTGCTTCTGTAGCTCGTCTGATTTAAATTTCCCCGTTACGGATTCAGAGATGTATTCTGTAACTGTCTCAAACCACTCAGCTCAATCTCCTCTAAACTCTGATATTAACAGTGAGCATTGATCTATGCATCTGCAAATTAATGGTATAATTTCATCCTTTGAAGCCAAATCCAGGAGATGAGTGTTTGGTTACGATCAAAGTGAGATATTAAGCTCAACCCATGTGTCAAAAACAAGCATATTTAACATTCACTTAAATCTCATCTAACCAGTTCTGAGGCCCTGCTTAAACACCAGGAGGTCATCTGTGGAAAATCCAGATACCCAGAAGTTGCTAAACAAGCAGTCCAATAGTATAGAATGGCCATTACATGGAACCCTCTCACCATGATGAACAATGTCGTGGTCCATGAGGTGTTGCATGAGACTGACAGCAGTCACTCGATCCAAAGCCTCCTTGTGGCTCACCAGCCAATCTATTAGCTCCTGCGCCACAAAGCAGTTGGGGTAAGTTCGCAGGTGGTACCGTCGATCCTTGATCAGCTTTCCATCATGAAGTCTCAACCTTTAAGTCATGCTTGGGTTAGTGATGGGCTCTGAAATGCATCTTAACCTACATCCCCTCCCATCCTCATTACCTGAGCTGCTCTCCTGCAATCATGACTTCAGTCTTATGTTGCCTTGCAATGGTTTTTCTTCTAATGCTGTTTGTTCGCTCCATGCTTGCTATCCCTGGACTGAGCAGTAAATGAAACTCACCTCTTATTTAGACTTGCCTGTTTACAAAATAGTTGGAGAAATGGAGCATTGCCTGAAGGACTAGATGTTTTGTATACAGCAAGGCAGAAAGGGAAAGACATGTTAAGGTGTAAAACTATATCCTCTAAGGTTTTACTTTATTTAAACTCAGTTTATCACATTTTCTCTCCGTTATAGTTTAAGATTTAAAATTATTCATATTTCCAGTTAAAAAAAAGAATCGAAATAAAGTCCAACAGTATTTAAGTAATCGTAATTGTATCTATCCTATAGCATTATTATCATTATGCTTGAATCACTTTTTTCTCTTAAGCATGGTCTAACACAGAAATGAATTAGAAAATAAACTTTTCTAATGGATATTGTTTTAATTTGCTAGAAGAAATGCTGGTATACCTTGTTCAATTGGTAATGGGTGAGTTTGAACAAGCAACATTTTAAAGGTCATCTTGTGGATGTCTGGCAACCAAAAAAACCTGAAAAACAACATGGCAGCAGCAGCAATGATTGGTACTGGATGATTCAATCGTTTGCTAAATGTTATAAAGTAGTCAGAAAATAGTCTTTGAAAAATGTAAGTGTGTGTATTCCCTCTCTGAGTTCATCCTTCAGACTCCATCTTCCATAAAGCAGCAACCTAATGAAGGGAGCTGTGAGTTATTCCTTCTAGAAGTCTGCAGATACAGATAAGGTAAAGCCTTTTGGTGCCAACATGATGATGATGCACTAATATACAGAGGCAGGCGAAAGGCTTTATGTCCCATATGTTTGTATTCCACCCTGCAGATACGAATAGTTTGATGTGCATTTCTCCCTGTCATTTTAACTTTGACCTCTGAGCTTACTACTTATTCTCAGATAATAGCCCTGGACTTTGACTGGGCCACTCTTACATGTACAGACACATTCAGCAGATGAAAATGTGTGTTCCGATAAGGCTTGTTTTTATCCAATTAAAAGTAACACTTAAATATAACACATTTTAGCAGGTGTTCAAATTTTAATGTTGACATTTCTGTATTAAAGGTTTTTTATTGGTCTTGTTTAATTTAATGTTAGCTGGTGGAAAAGTCATTGTAATTAAAAGAAACTAAAAAAAGATCAATATATGTGAAATTACCCTATATGAGGGATTTTTAATAATCATTGTCGTGTGCCACCGTCCTGCAACTTTTAGATGTATCCCTGCTTCAACACAGCAGAATCAAGGATCCAGCCTAGAAGGTAATTCATACTGAATTTTAAGTTGTCCTGAAGCAGAAAGGCTTCAGAAAGCTGCAGGAAAGTGTCATGATCTGCCCTTATAGCTGACCTTAATTGTTTACTTCATTCACCTGCCTAACACTGCCCGGTTCCTAATCATTCCTCATCTTAGCCTGTGTCTGTTTCTTTATATTCCGCTCAGCCCAGCTATTGGGGCCAGATCATTGTTTGATGTCTGGATGTTTGTTTCATTAGTTTTAGGTATTCCTTGGTTCATGTTCCTGTCCCTGGAGGCCAGTGGTTAGAGAGGTTTTGGTGTTTGTCTCCTGATCTTGTCCTGACTACCAAGTGGAGAGCAGTTTAAAGTTCTGCAGATTTTCTGGTACCTTGTCTTGTCTCTGTCCCTCAACTGCTGAGCCTGCCTATCTGAATCTGTGTGTGTTGGTCTGAGCTTGCTGCTTGACTCATAGAATTCTGAACCTGCCTTCATGCTCTGTGGATTCCTGGAATCCTGAATCGGTCTGTTCCTGTGTGGATAAGAACCCCCTGACCGGGCTGCAGACTCCTGGATTCCAGAGCTGTTTCTGTCTGAACTGTTTCCCTGACCTGGATCAAATCCCTGCCTGTTCTCTGATGTTGCTGCTTCGAGGACACTCTGGGCTGCTCTGCACCATAGCTTATTTGGCATGTCCATCGGCTGGATCCTGCCTGCCTGAACTGTTGAACCAGGTAAGTGACTCACACGGATAATCATCTCCAGTCAGATTATCGTGTCACTTACCTGTGTTTCTCCCTCCAGAGTGTCTGTAATGAAGAGAAGCAATCCTTCCCTAATGAAATGCTGTCTTTAATGGACTTGTTGGTTTAGGTTTGGGTCATATCTTGGTAGTTTTGGTAGTAAAAGCACTTTATTTTCTAATTAAATACATTTTAAAGGTAGTTGTTTGCATTTTAATCATAGTACAATTATGAGGGAACAATTATTTTATTTACTTCACAACTTTCCAACACTGTTTATATTCCACCTAAAATCCCAATAAATCACTCTGAACGTTTGTTTCTAATGTGACAAAACGTGAGAAGAAGGAAGAATAAATTTGGAATGGAAAGTTCCTATATCCACATTTTTGGTGGGTTTATTGTTTTTATTAGTCAACATTTATCAGTTAGACTCTTATAGTCCTATCTTCCCCATACAGTAACTCATATAATATCCCTGGTCTGCTGGCACCAATCCTGGGATGTGTCCCTGAGAAAAACTTGCTCAGTCACACTGTCTCCTCTTTTCCTAAATTCCCAGAAAATCAAACTGGGTAAACAACGCCTGACCATTCTTTTGCAGCAAATTCTATTGGTTTTGGCTTGAGTCTGTAGGTTTTGTCAGTGAGACCTCTCTTTGTTAGCAAGCATTGAATGAGGGGGTCACACTCTGTAACCCTTTGAGATCCTGTGTAAAATACCCGTTGACAGTAATGTGTGTCACAAAGAAAGTTTTTGGTTTCTTTTCGGGACTGCTAAGAATTTCATGTGTGGTACTTTACTAAGGCATTCATAAGGTGATCAGGTCAAATGAGACCAAACTGAACTTTCTGGCCAACATGCAAAAAATCTGTGTAGCTGAGAAAAAATGCTCCAACATCACCCTGAACCTGGTGTGTTGCTGGCAGGATCTTCAGCGGGAGTAAAAGTCAAAATATGCCACCAGAACAGCAATGGAATAGTTTAGAGTGTGTGTTTAAATTATCCAATTAAAGTCCAGATCAGAAATAAATTTGGTATTTGTGGCTAAATAAGAACCTGAGCTTGAATTATCTTGCAAAGAATAATAGGCAAATAAGTCTGCCTTTACGTATGTTGATAATTCATAGCTTTATCTTTGTCTTACTTAACCTCAGAGAAGGTTTAAACCATGTCTTCTTTATCCTTTCAGATCACTATGTGCTGCTTCGTCTCATAAAATCTTAATGAATCACATTAAAGTTTTAAGGTCTTAACAGTGAAAAATCTGACAAAAGCTCTAAAATATATATATTTTTAAAAACTGCTTATGGATAGCAAGGAAAATGCTGCAATATTCCTCTTTTTATTTTAGGGTTTTAAAAATCAAGCTGTATAAAAACTAAAAAGGTAATAACTGCAAATCTTCAACCATTGTGAGAATTTGAAAATAAGGCACATTTGCAGTAGAGAATATTCTATTCATATAGTCTGTATTTTGTTCAGTAGAGTGTTTTTATTTCATTTCATAAACTAACAAACCAGGTTTTTCATTGCAACATAGTTACATTCAGCGTGTCTCAGTTTTAAGGTGTCGAAGTTTGTTCCTGCAATGTGAACCTTTGCCCACTAGGTGGCAGTATGCACAAAAGCACATATCAATAACAGCACAAATCGTTGTAGTTTTAAATGACCTGACTTGCTGCCCCTTTTATTTCTTTCAGTTAAAACATTATTTGCGTTAAATAAATGGCAAAACTAATGCAAAAAATGCGACACTTCAATTAATTAATTAATTATATTAATTGATTTTATTTTATATTTTAGGGGTTAATTGTTTGGAAAGGATTAGGGGTGCAAATAAAATTGTGTAGACCAATTTTAGTCAAGAGCAAATTGATAGGCCTTTTTTTTTCTTTTTTTTTTTTTTGGTTTACTAAACATACTTAGATGCATATTGTTTTTAATAAAAAGATTTAACGTTGGAGTTTATGAAGGGAGAAGGAGGGGAGGAGGGGGGAGACACAGAATAGCTTTTATGCAAATGAGCCTGTTCAGTATGTTTTCATTGGAGAGCAGAGCGGAGGTGTAGTCTGGAAGGCGTGACTTCATGCCAGTCCAGAGTATGAAGAAAGTGCGCTCCTCCTAAACATGCAGAGGTGCGTCCAGTGTTTATGAGGAAAGACAACTCTGAGATTTTGGTTCCTTCGCCCTCTGAGAGAGCAGCGCAGTGAAGACCTTCCGCTCTGTGCAGGTCCAGAAGGTGGGGAAGAGATTTTTCTTTTTTTTTTTTTCTCCCCTAAATCGGTGGCCTTTTTTTTAATTCATCCTGAGCCTAATTTAAAGTTTTGGGGTACTTTCCTTTTTTTTTCTTTTGCAACTGAGTAGTTGTCTTGTGACTGTATGAACTGGACATCTGGAGCCCTGTGACCAGGCCAGCTTGTCCCTTTGCGTCCTCACTTGGGGCTGCACAAACTCCCCATGGATTTCGCCACCGACTTTGACTTTATGAAGTTTGGCGTGAAGAAAGAGACCATGCAGAACCTGGAGCGCTCCTTCATCGGGCCGTGCGGCCAGCTGCAGAGACCGGACTCGGTCTCCTCCACCCCGGGCAGCACACCTTGCAACTCGGTCCCCTCATCGCCAAACGTCAACCCCAACGACCAGAGAAACAACCCCGGGAGTGACCAATTCTGGATACCCAACAACAACGGGGGATACCCTCATCAGATGTACCCTCAAGCTTTTGGCCTGACACCGGAGGACGCCATGGAGGCCCTAATAGGGGCCACGACGCAGCAGGGCCACCCGTCTGCGCCCCACGGCCACCACCCACAGTCCTACCAGCCTGAATACGAAGGCTACGGGCACCTGAACGACCCGGTCCAGCACTACCAGGGCCTCTCGGGTCACCCCGACATGCAGGGCATCAGCAGCAGCCACTGCCAAGACCCCTATCTGAAAGACGAAATGGGGAGCGAGTCCCCCGAGTCGCCCGAGGCCCAGTCGGTTCTTGGCGCGCACCACCAACTCCAGCAGCCGCAACACAGCCGCCACGACAGGCGATCCAATGTGGAGACGCACTTCTCAGACGAGCAGCTGGTGTCCATGTCTGTCAGGGAGCTGAACCGGCTCCTCAGGGGCCTGAGCAAGGAGGAGGTGATGCGTCTGAAGCAGAAGCGCCGAACCCTGAAGAACAGGGGATACGCGCAGTCGTGCCGCTTCAAGCGCGTCCAGCAGAAGCACATCCTGGAGCACGAAAAGACGAGCCTGGTGACCCAGGTGGAGCAGCTGAAGCACGAACTGAACAGGCTGGTCCGGGAGAGGGACGCATACAAACTTAAATGCGAGAAACTGTCCGGTGCCAACTGCTACCACGAAACTGGGTCCACCAGTGACAACCCTTCCTCGCCAGAGTATTTAATGTGAGTTAGTGCTTCTTCCACGGAGCCATTTAAATCACCCCCTGCATCAAAGCAATGACTGAAATGATAAAAAAAACAATAAAACAACCAAAAAGATGCAACGAGAAAGGGGGAAATGCAGTGATGCATGCATGCTGGCCATGTATGAGATGTTTTTATTTTATACTGCCCTAGCTTATCTTTATTTCGTCTAAAGGAAATACTTGAAATCAGATTTGCTTTTATCAGCATCCATGTAATCATTTAGTTCATTTTTATTGAGGTGATTTAAAATTTTCTGCAATTTTTGTCTTGCTCAAATCATAGTTTGTGTTTATGCTTCTTCAAAAAAAGAAATTACGTTTCGAAGTCATATCCTTTGTGAACTGGATTCTGCAGGACAGTACCAGCCTTTCTTCAGAAGATATACAAAATATACATATATATTGTTTTTCATCAAATATCTTGTTTTTTTTGTCATTTATTTGGATCAATAAACCTAATCTGACAGTTTAAAATGGAGTCCCATCTGCTGACAAGTTATTCCTCATGCAGTTAGCCATCACGATCGTGTTCATTTCCACATTTCTACATGCACATTCTTCATTTCTGTTATTTTGTCTAATTAGTTTGTACTAGAAATAAGGTCTGACTTGATAATATGGTGTCCCTAACCTTGATGTCAATTTGTATAAAACTAAAAAGGGTGCATTGAAGAAGATACCTTTAATCTATGCATTAATGTTGGGAGTTTCTGTGTTTCTAAAACAACTTTAAAAATAAAAAGTTTGGCACAACCTTAATGATACTAATGTTTACAACATCACTAAGACTAAAAAGCCAGCTTCATTTCTATACCTGCTGTATAAACAATAATGTGATGACGGAGTACAGCATGCACGTAAATGTGAGAAGGAAACAGATGTGTGCAGGCGCACACGTAGCTTCCTCAACATTTTCTTCATTATTCTTAAACTGAAACTCACCTACTTGTGTTTTCAGTGTTTTATAACTAAGCTAAAGTGTTCAGAGGATTGCCAGTGCTTTAGTTTCTTTAGCATAGAATGGTCATTCCCTGACCTTTGGCCTCCGTGGAGTGCTGCTTCCTGTGGGACCCCCAGCCTGTGAAAGCGCAGCGGGGTATCTGGCAGGAGCCTGTTGGGCACAGATAAAATGGAGTGGAAATCAGGCTTCCCCTCTGCTCTCTTCCTCAGACAAACACATCACCTCTGCATTCATTAACAGAGGAAGAGAGAAACAACCAGCACAGCCCACTGCACAGCCCTCCTCCAACCTGCTATGGAGGAATTTTCTCACTTGATATGTTATTTGTTGGCTTTCCTTTTTTTTTCTTTTTCTTTTTGTTTCAAATGTATGTGTGAAAACTTCACAGCGAAGTTCCGGACTGCTAATCTTCCCCAGTTCAACACTACAATAATATTTGGATGACCGTTATAGTTCCAAGGCCAGGGTGATAATGCTTGATAAGTGGTCACATTGTAAAAGGGAGTTTATAACCTCCGCTCTGAGAATCTTAGAGAGTGTTTTTCTGTCACAGTAGACTTTGTAACTTCTCTCCCCCTTCGAGCGAGAGCAGAACTGGGGCAGATGGTATAGTTAACAGGACCTCGCTCCAACATGGAGACCAGGTCCTGTTTCCATGCGTGACCCTCTCCGGCAGCGCTGACCTCGCCTCTCCTTTCAGGGGAAAGTGGTTCTGAAGTTGCAGCACAGGTGCAGAAATACTTTCCTTCTGAAAAAAACACAGGCCTGATCCCTTTAAGTCTGCCTGCTGCTCTGTTGAGGGTGTGACGTAGGAGGAAATGTTCTTTTCTTTATCTTAATGTGACTAGTAGAGGTTCATAAATCTGTATCTGTCCTATCAAATGATAGTCATCTGCTGCCTCTCTTTTAAGTGTACTTAGAACCTGTAAAACTACTCAAGTAGCTGTTTTTTTAAAAGGGCATAAATTGAATTATCGACGATTATGAATTAATTTGACTATATCACATAATGATTTATAAATCCGGATCAATTAATTTTGAAATCTAACACAGATAGCTTTCCATGCACTTAGAAGAAAAAAGAAATGAATCCAGATTTCATGTCTGCACGCAGAGAAATATTTCCAAAAACATATAAACACTCGTCTTTCAGCTTTTCTGCAAAAAGTCAGGGATTTTGGTCAATCCCTGTGGTTTTTTTCATCCGAACATGGTGTTTCCTCACGCTCCTGCGGACTCACATGCATCACATGGGGCTTTCTAAGGAACAGTGGAATAATACTGTAGAAGTGTTGGTGAGGAGAGCGGTTTTGTGGCGCTGTGTGACAGTTTGCCATTGTAGAAACGATTAGCCAGCTCTTTTCCCTCGCATGTGATAGGCTGGCGGGCCCTGATGTGGGAGCCTCACTCTCTCCCCCCTCCTCCTCCCTCGTTGCCACCAACACCCCGAGCCCTCAGCGCCTGAGGCTGGATACTGAGTCAGCAGGAAGGATAGGTGTCTGTACGGCTGTGGCATCTAAACAAGAGAAAGGCAACCAGAGAGCAGGAAAAATGCTCCAGAATAAACATCCGTTTATAGAAGAATGAGATCAAGAGAGAGAGAAAAGAAGCATTTACCTTCTACATACCCCTTCGACCTTTCCATATATTGTGACTTGAAAATCACTAACTTCATAGTATTTAGCTAGAATACACTGTGACAGGCCAATAAAAAAAAGAGTGCAAGATTTTGAAGTGGAATTTAATGGGATTTGAATTTAAAACCGTTTCATAAATAAAAAGAGTCATTACTTTTCCCCCGCCATTTCCCGCTGGCGTAGGTTTCTATCAGCTTTACACCCCATAGAGAATCACCCTTTTGCCATTTTGTTTAAGGGTTAACCTAAACCAGATTCAGTGAAGAGTATTTCAGAACATCGATTTTCAAGTCTCTCCACAGAATATCCTCCAGGTTTAGATCCAGAGTTAGACTAGGCTATTTTAACACGTGTATTTACTTTGATCTAAAGCTATGGATGTATGTTTAGGGTTTTAATCCTACTGGAAGATTCCCTGCCTCAGTCCCAGGTTTTAATCCAGAACGGTCTTATATTTAGCTGAATTAATGTTCTAATTAACTGAAACCAGCTGATGGAGGAAAAACCTCCTCTCTGTGTGATGCTGTTACCACCGTACACCGTGGTGTTTCCACCACGGTGTACGGTGTTGTGTGTACAATTACACACAGCTCTTGGATGTAGGCAACAAAGTGTGATGTTGGTCTTATCTGACCAGGGCCCTTCTATGTGGCAAACTTTAGACACGAGTTACTATGTTTCTCTTTTAGACATTCACCAGTAAAGACAAGATTTAGTTATAGTCAGTTTTCCAAACTGAGCATAGCTGAGTTAGTGCTCCTCCAGTAGTTTTTGTGAGATTTACAGTTGCAGATAGACGGAATGTGCTAAGCTTTTTCTTATATCCTGATTCTGCTTTAAAATTCTCTGTCTCTGCACTGCAAAAACATTTTGCAAATGAGTAAAACGTCTTAAAATAAGTGTATTCACCCTTAATTTAAGTAGGAAAATAAGATGATCTGCCAGTTGAATGAGCATTTTTAGCCTTAATATAAGATAATTAGATATGATGCACTTGAAATAAGAGACTGCAATTGTTTTTTCTTATTCCATTGGCAGTGTGCTTCACTTACCTGCTCAATTTAAGAAAAAAAATCACCTTATTTAAAGAAATAGTTACTAACTTAGATTAACATTTTTTGCAGTGTGTGAGCTCTCTGCTGTGCTCCTCAGGCACCCTGAGACGTTTAGTTGGTTTATGGCCATTAAAGAACACCTGGATATAAACTGAGATTAAATCACACAGAGGAGGATTCCAGCTAATAATTAGGTAAATCCCGAGGTTGGCTGTTTGCTTATTTGAAGTATTGAAAGTATACACTTTTAAGTGAAACATTTAGAACCTGTATACTTTATTTTATTATTTTTTACAATAATATATTAGATTGTGATAGTGTGGTGAGTAAAACTCCCAGTTAAATTAGGTTTAAAGGCACAAGTTCAAGTTCGAGGGGAATCGTTTTTACACAACTGTGCAAAAATCTAAAAGGCAGTAATCTATTGTTTTTATATTCCCATTTAAACCTAACCGTTTTTACAATATTATTTATTCATTAGTCTCTGCTTAGTCTGATTAAAATGCTTAATTCAAATGAGGCGAGGGTGGTGGCAGCCTGTCAGCTGACTGATGGAGGTCTGCGGAGGCCTGGCTGTGTCTCAGACAGCGAACGCAGACAGAGGAATGCTGCAGATACTCACCATTGTGTGGGGAGAGGCAGAGGAATGCAGGCTGCCAGTGCTACGTACACTAACACCAATGAATACAGCCAGAGGCCACAGGCAATGAGGGAAGGCCGGGCTTAAAAAGACCCCACAGTCAACAACCACTCACCACCTCCATCTTGGATATCATATGCATCTCCCCTAAACGGTGTTGGTTTGAACCTGCTCCACTGTTTAAACATTGAGGGTCTTTTAAAGGAGTAGCTGGGCTGAATGTTAGAGATTAGACTTATTTGATGAACTCAGTAGCTATTCTCTTGGTCCAAACAAGCACTTTTGATCAGCACACTCTGCACTCGCAGTAATGATAGTCACTGACCCCTTCTGTGGGTTAAAGTCAACTGGCCAGACATTTGACCCTCAGCTGCAAACCGTTTCCAGCTTCAGCCTGTTCTTCCATCGCTGTTTTGCAACAGTAAGACTCTCACACCCTCTGCGGCGGCCTAAAAGTGCGCTTTCACGTGAAGTGCAGAGCAGAGATTGGGATGGAGGACAGGATGGAGGAGTGAGGCTTCCTCTTTCACTTCCTATATGCGGGTCCAGTCAAGTGACTCTTTGTGAGAGTGTTAGGTTGGGATGTCGCAGGAAAACGCAGCTTCGATCACTGTGGTTTCCGCTCAGGATGTCCAGTCCTTTCTGCTCACAGTTGTGACACTGTGAATCATGCAGCCATCACACACGCATACAGACGTCTCCATGGACATGGCTCACACACACAGACTCAGGCATGCCTTTGCAATCCCACACTTTCATG